TTTAAATTTTTTTATTGATTATGCTGTTACAGTTGTTCTATTCCCCTCCCTTCATTCCCCTCCACCCTACCCCCCATCCCCACCATTACCCCCCCTTTAGTTTATGACCATGTGTCTCAAGTCCTTTAGATTCTACATTTCCCCTACTACTCTTGCCCTCCCCCTGTCTATTTTCTACCTGCCGTCTATGCTACTTATTTTCTGTACCTTCTTCCCCCTTCTCTTCCTCCCACTCCCCTGTTGCTAACCCTCCTTGAGATCTTCATTTCTAAGTTTCCACTCCTGATCTAGCTGTCCTTTTAGTTTGCTGTCGTTTTAGGTGTGGTTGTTAATAACTTTGACCTGTGACGTTTTCTGGACCTCCCCCCCCCAGGATAAGACGATCCCTGGGAGGGAGCGGGTGGGAGCCTCAGCCGCCTGCGGCGGCCGGTGCCCACGCACTGGCTGCTGTGGAGGAAGTCAGGGTGCCCGGTGTGCCTCCCGGCATCTGCTGTCACTCTCCTCTCTGCTGAGTTTCATTTTCACACAGCCTGGCCTGCCTTCGGAACTTGGAGGACTTGCTCCAAGCCAGGCTGCCAGAGTTTACAACCAGTCACATGGAAAGTTCTGGAAAGTGACCATTAATAGAGTAAGTGGAGAAATATGAAAAACAACTTCATCATTCCATCACATGTCAAGTCACTGACATGGGAGTCCGTGGAAGAGGCTCAGGGACCCCTTGAAAAGAATTCTTTTACCTCCTGACAGTGTTCTCAAAATGCAGCCTCTGGGAACCATCTGAATAAAAATCACTTATGGGTGTGGCGGGGGGAGGGGTGCCCGAGGCACAGACTGCAAATTCGAAGTGAATATTTTCAAACTGCAGGTTTCCGCCCATTAGTGGGTCAGAAAATAAATTACTGAGTAGCAAAAGGCTTTTGTTGTTTTCATGAGAAAATAGAATGTGATAGAATAGACACGACAAAACAGAATACAGAGTACATTGCACACAGAGAGAGAAACATTAATTTGGAAAACTGTGTGAGTGTCTGTATGCCATTCCATAATGTAGTGTGTACTTCTCAGTGTATGTCAAGGTCAAAACAATGTCTGGCAAACAGAACAGTCTGTCACATAAGCCCTGCCTATACCCTCATTGTCATCATGGCAGGCCCCGAACAGGCGACTTTCAGACGTAGTTAGGCCTGTGTCCTGAGTCAGTCTTGGTTCAGTATTTGCTCAGCACCGGTGCCCCCCATACTGAGACTAGAGTTGACCTTGTGGCCTTAAGCCTAGTCAGGGTAAGCTTCTTAGGAATCCACACAGCTACCAGCATCAACCTCATCACAAGCACCAGTCTCTTCAGCTGGATTTCTATCCTGACCGGCACTCAAATTCTGAGCTAGTCAACTAGGACACCTGCCCTTAAAATCCGGAGAGCTTGCCTAACTACTGCTCAGTCCGTCTTCCCACAAGCACAACTCCGCACATCAACCAGAGTCCTCTGTTCACCCATCAGCTTCTGTCTTGGAACTGCGCCTTTGCCATGATTGAGACCATCCTCACTGGGGGAAACTCTGGTGACCGCTGCCCTCAGGGGCAGTGGCCTCAACCTACCTCTCCCCTGCAACTATGGGTCAGGGAGCTGAGCTCTGAGAGCGGCCCAGGCCAGCGGTTCTCCCAGTGTGGCCTCAGAGAAGCAGCATCGCACGGTGACTTGCTCAAAATGCAAAGTGTTCAGCTACCACAGAGCTACTGAGCCAGAAAGCCCGGGGGCCAGGCCAAGTCATCTGGGTTTTAACAAGCCTCCCAAGTGATCCCAGTGCTTGTGACAGGCCAGGGACCACTGTTTTAGGGCAAAGGGCTGTGTACTAGAAAATCTACTGACACCTGATAAGAAAGACAGGATGTCTTTCTTCTCTTCCCTCACACAGATTGTGATGGAGCCAGGCTTGAATGAAATGCGTTCATGTGTTAACTCTTTCATATGTTATAACAGAAGAATTCCCACTGCAGTCTTAGTTCTTACGTTTTGACTCAGCTGAAGTCTGAGAGCATGTAAATAGATCCAATCAAATAAAAACTAAGCAGATAATCACGGAACTGTTTTGAGGTTTGCAAGTTTCCAGAACACTAAAAAAGTTTCCCCTTGTGAAATTTCCCATGCTAAATTTCCTTATTCCAGCTTGGACTGTCAGCAAAAGAGATATGAATCGCAAGAGGCCTCTTTTTTCTCATGAAAACATAAACCACTGCTTGTTTTGTCTTACAATTTTCTTCCTTTACACTCAAAAACTTCAGATAAAACTCCAGACCTTAGGTTCCTTCGCCCAAATGTGCATTTTTTAGTTTTCCCATCAGCCATTGCCCTAAAGCCCAGATTCATGTTGAAATTGACAGTAATTCACATGTAATCACTGTGGACACTAAAAAAGAAGATACCTATTAAGGAAGGCTAACTGGGCTCAAATTACTTTAAAAAAAAAACAGAGACTAGCAGCCATTATTACAGCAAACCTCTTGTGCAAACTGCGCTTCAGGGAGAAGCCTAAACTGAACTACCAGCCTCTTCATCTGAACTAGCTGCCTGCACTAGCTGCCTGTGTTTCTGCCACTTGAGCTAGACCCTCTAAAGAAGTCCCTGGAATCCTATTCCAACCAATAGCACTGAAGTTTTCTCCATGCAATTGTAGCTATGTGGCTCTGATCAATTACAGCAGCTCCATTCTGACCAATCTACAGCGCTTTTTGGACCAATCAAAGTGAGAGGATTTGGAGCCGTCCTTTGCATGAGGACAGACCAATCGGAGATCAGGGGCAGGCACTTGTGTCAATACAAGCCTGCTGTCCTTTGGCTTGGGGAGCACGCACTCCATTTCCACCAAGGGCTGAAGACTTGTCTCCCCATGCACACCCAACCAGACCAGATCAGGGCAGGAGCAGAGAGGCAGACCTGAGCAGAATGGAGCAGAGCAGAGCTGCCCAGCTGAGGAGGGGCCTGGCCCCACGGCTGCCTCAGAACTGGCTGTTCTCACAGCCACGCCGCATTACCACTGAGCTGTCTCCCACTGAATGAAGTTTCCATCTTCACTGTACCCCAAAACGGGGGTTCCTGTTAGTACTGAGTACGCACCAATGACCACAGGTTGACACTACCTTGAAAAAACAGCCTGCCTTAGTGACAAAGTTTCTCAATATTTTTTGGTCTATGTTCCATTTATGTACTTCTAGTAAAGAGACAACTCTCCATTTATCAGCCTACTCCTTGTTAATCCTAAGACTTCCAAACCCAAGTACAGATATATGCACTGATTTTTACAGATTTACACACATATCTACTATCTCTAAACTAGAAACAATAATCAGGCAGACAATAGAAACTAAAAATCAACCAATATAAATAAACACAGAGTTGGGACTCGTACCCCACGCTCATTAATGCCTGACGAGCTATAAGGGACATATTTTTCTGGTCTGTCCAGCATCACTTGCTCTGGGAAGTGACCCTCCACCATTCATTCTACAGAAACCTCCTTAGACCATGTAATGCAGACAGCATTGACACTACCTTCCTGTTGAAGGAGTGGCCATGACCCAGGCTAGGTCACCCACGGAACTCAGCCCATTTCTCTGGAGTGGGCCTCTGTCCCAAACTGAGCCAACTGCAGTGCCCCGGGCCTCCTGTCACTGGAGGTAGCTGCTCCTTCTCCATAACTGTGGCGTGAAGCCAGTGCTTCTGGAACATCCGGGGTCACTGTGTCACCTCCTGAGGACAGAGAGGGTAAGAGGAAAGCCAGGCAGAGGGAACTATATCTGAGAGGCTGGAGCCACCTGTGCCCAAAGTCAAAGGCACCTTTTAGAATCTCCAATTACCTCTGTCAGTTGACTGTCCTTTTCACAGAATCTAGTGTGAGTTGAGTTTTCATCATTTGCCATCAAGAGCTTCATACAGTTTCCTGAATATTCCTGTAAATTGGTTTTCTAATTTGCTCAATAAATGAGGAGATCCTTCTCAATGGCCTTTTTCCACATCTATGATTCTAAAACATATTCTATTTCCCAAACTTGGGCAGATTATTTTCTAATATAGCATGCCAATTTATCTATTCCTAAACTAGTTTGCTTTCATTTAAATGAAATCAAATTTGCCCTGCCTAGATTTCTGTGAAAATTAAGTCAAAATTGGTGGGTGCTATGAAGAAAAAGTCTTCCCTTCAGGCCTGATGCAAAACAACTCACTGGTGCTTAGACTCTGGAGCCTACAAGTATGTCTGTGTAAGGTTCACTGTCATCTCGCCATGACCTTGTTTTGCAACTGGTGTATCAGCCCCTTATTTGGTGCTGAGGAGAACCAAACAAAGAGCACAAGAAAATGCCTCAATAATTTTGCTGGTGCATTGTGAGGGATCATACCATAACAACACAAGCATTAACAGCTCCGATAAACCTAATGAACACAAGAAAAGGTTTCATGGCTCTATAAACAGTTTTCATATATAAATGTCACATGAAAGGCAATGGTATTAAAGATTTATGCCGTGGGGTTGCCTGGAAAACATCACCCAAGCACTGTTGTTCCTTTGGTAATAGATTCAGTGGTACTTTCTGTTTGTTTAATCAGGGCCTCGCTTTCCTAGAACTCTACACCGTCAGAATTGTCCTTTGTTCTTAGTGTGTATGTGTAGTATTTTGTTATAGAGAACAGGAGCCATTTTATTTCTTTATTAAAGAAAAAAGACCAAAGGCAAATAAGAGAAAATGTTAACAAACTATGCCTTTAGGTATTAGGAACGCCAGAGTTTTTATCCATAAGAAAAGAACTTGGGCTTCACAGGTTACACCAAATTGTCCCCGACAGAGCAATACGCCACAAGAATTTGTGAATTTATTTTTTGTCCTAATAGTAGCACTGAATGATTAAAATTTTTTTCATGAAGTGTGATTAATACTTAGGAAGATGGAAGAGAAATTACTTTCATACAAGAATACTACTTAAAAATAGTTCAAAACATCAAAGTTGCCAGAGTTGGACTCTAACCCCAAACCTGTTTGACTAGCACACAGCAAAAACTCAGTTCACCATTTGTTAAAGCAGTTTCTTCACTTTTTGGACGGGAATTCTAGGGAGGGGACTTGAGCTACCACAGAGAAATGCTATGGAAATCCAGCGAAGAAATATTACATGCGGAGGAAGTTTCCATGTAAGTATAAACTATACAATTGCTATTTTGCAGATCATTTGGATGTTTATTGTGTTAATATTGTTTGTCATTTTCATTATTGTTTTGCCACTGAAAAATGCCAAGTAATATGTGGGCTTTTGGTAGCATAAAATCTATAGCTTTTTCATGTAGGCATATTTCTTTAATCAATTCTAGTGTTAGTAATACAGGACCTACTCTAGGAATGGAATAATCACACATTAAAGGAATTTTTCAGATCATCTTTCTTTTCATGCCATTCAGTAAGTCAATTAGGGGGCAGTACTATTCATTTGTGGAATCTTGCATTATAGAGACCCCAAATATATTGTTCAAAGCACAGCCTGCTTCTAAGATATGTGGGGATTCAAATATTATAAACTCTTAGAGTGATTATTAGACACTCTTGAAGAAAATGTCCTGACCTTATATTAGAATGTGAACAAATACTCATGTTTAAACATGTAATTTAACATAAATTATAATATTTATAGCAAGTACCTTTTTTTTTATGATTCTACAAAGTAAACAGACTTTTTAATCTAATGGACCAATTAATAATTATAATAATACTTAGTTCAACAAGGACTTATAACATCATAATTTATACTTATTGTTTTTACATTTTTGTAATCAACCTATAGACATAGATAAAGTATGAGAAGCTTAATTACATTTGCAGAGCAGAATATAAATGCTAAAAACCTAAATACTGTAAAAGGAAAGCTAGAACTGGCGCAGTCAGCAGTGAGTCAGAAGAGAGAAGAGAAAAGGCTGACCAACATATAGGCAGGCTAATTTTCTCAACTTCCATGGTGGGGACCCAAAAAACTACCACCTAAAATGGAGAAGTCAAAAAGCAGAGATAGAAATATATTATGGTTGGAATGTGCATTTGTTGAAAATTTACTTGTTGAAAACCTACTGACCAAGTCACATGATGGCATTAGGAAGTGGGGGTTTTGGAGAGGTGCTTAGGCCATGAGAACGGAACCTTCATGATCAAAATTGGTGGCCTTAGGAATCGGCCCCGAGAGAGCCCCTCACGCTTTCCACCAGGTGAGGATGCAAGGCATCGGTCAGCAACCTGAAGGGCCCTTCCCAGAACGACGCCATGGCAGGAGACGGATCCTGAACTTCCCAGGCGTCAGAATGCTGAGAAAGAAATTTCTGTTGTTTATAAATCACCCAGTGTGTCGTACTTTCTTATAGCAGTCTGAACAGGCTAGGACGAAGTACCAGTACAGCACACAGTTACCTGGGATACCACAGCATAACTTACAAAGAAGGTTAAAAAAGTGGGGTAAGACAAATCTTTCACCTCTAAGAACAGAGATCAATACTGATATACTTGATGGGAACAGAAGGAGAAGCATAAATATATCATTTTGTGTTACCAGGAAACAATCATAAAAATAAAGCCAGAAATGATTAATTCCCAGTCCTCACTTTACCTGCTCTGTGAGCAGCATTTGACCAGGTGAAAACTCCCTCCTTGACACCTTGCCTCACGCAGCTGCCAGGTCTCAGAGTTCCTCTCCTACTTCATTGGCTCCTTCTCAGCCCTTAACCCTTCCTGCTCTCACGGAAAATGTCAAGGTGCCCCAGGACTGCATTCATCACCTTGGACATGACAGTCCCTTGGCATAGGATCATCTGCACATTCTCCTAACTTTGATTTTGAAAATGGCAATTAATTGTGATCATTTTTTGCTAATAAATATTTCTTAAAAACTTATGATATGCACGGCCCTACATTATATTCTTAGACAGCACTGTTCTTTCTAGAATATTCGGTGATGATGGAACCATTATATATCTGCGCTGTTCAGTGTGGTAGCCACTAGCCTCCCATGGCTATTGAGTGCCTGAAATGTGGTTAGACAATACACGATAAACTCAATTTTTAATTGTATTTCATTTTAACTTTAATAGCCACATGTGGCTAATGGCTACTCTACTGGACAGTGTGTTTCTAGGGACTCAGCTTTGAAAAGGTATTTACTGAAGATCCTTGACTTCTGGATCTTCCTTCAACAAAGAAAGGATCCCATTAATAAAAAAAAAAAAAGAGAGAGAACATTTTAGAAAACAGGAGATAAAAAGATCTCTATCACTATTAAAAGTGGGCAAAGTACTTTAAAGTATATCATACAAAGATTATGAAAATCTGGATAAAGAAAGACAAATAAACTTTTTTCACTGTTAAAATTATGTTTTTAAAGACTATTATATTAGCACATTAACTCCATGTTTAGCTTCCTAGATTTTTGATGATTTGGGAATAGAAAGTTATGAAACTGACTCAAGAAAACCCAAGGTATAACGGACTCATTTTAGCCAACTTTAATTTTGGTCTTCTTGTTTTTCAACACTCTTCAGTTTCAAAGATCTCACTAGACGTGTTGTTATTTCATCTGTCTCTAATTCTGAACTTCCTGCTCTGAGTTTGCCTTTTGATATTTATCGTATGCCGTGTGAAAGTCTCCTCACATCACTGATACTTGCCCTGTATTATTGTTAACTTTTGTATGTTCATAATTCACTAATGGCAATAATTATCGCAACTCATTTCTGGCAGTAAAGGAACATTTCTGACATTTTATTCTAAGTTGTGTATCCGTACTCCTTTATTGTCATTGTCCCAGGGCATATTTCCACATGATATGTAGCTAGGTTTTCATTGCTGAGACATTTCGGAGTGCATAAAAAGAGTTCTTTGTTTAGAATTTTTAAACTGTTTCTTAAGTGAATAAATGTCTGCTATCCTTGTACATTGTTAACCTTCTGTCTATTTCATATTCCAACAGCCACACCCACTATTATTTTCAAGACAAGCCTTTCTCAGACTTAATTGCTTGTAGTGGATTCAGGCTGCGGTGGGACACACCCTTAAGCTTTCTAACATTCAGCTGAAAGGGTGTTTTAGTTGCCATTTGATTTCTTTCAAGGGTTTTTTTAAAGGTGTTACAGCTGAACCTTTGCTTTTGTTCTTTAAGCCTTGGAGCAAAGCCTGGACTGGAAAGCCAAGTCTCGCTGGAGTGCCTGAAGTTTACCTGCTGTACCTAGACTCAGGCTGGGTCTTTATCGAAGAATCTCTCAGTGAGTGGAAAGATGGTACAACAAACTTACTATTTTTCTAAACTGGCAAGTTCTGGTTGTGCGTCGCCCCTCAAAATTCTATTTCAAACCAGCTACTTATTTTCTGAGCTCATCACGGGGACCTTAAAAAGCCAGCTAATACTTCAACATTCTAATAAAAAACATCTTGCCCAAGTCTACCAGTTCATTGGTTACATTTCTATCTTCTAGTTGACCACAAAAGATTGTTATACCAAATGCTTCATGGTTATATAACATGAGTCACCATTTCTTCAGGCTTTTATGATAGTCCCTTCAACATTTTTCCAACCTACACCACCACCCAGCCCCACATGTTTTCGGTTTTCCTTGCAGCCAGGACAGCAGTTATTAATACAAACTCCTGTATAGGTTTGCTATTGCTACAAAAAAAAATGTTGCATAACAAACAGCTACAAAATCTCAGTGGTATGCAACCATAAACATTTATTTAGCTCACATATCTGTGGATTGGCTGAGGATCTGCTGATCTAGGCTGGGGCAGCTTGGCTCCGCACCACGCGTCCTCATCCTCTTCCTGGAACCCGCGGACTAATCTGTGTTCCTTTCACAGCAACTGCTGAGTGCGGAAGCCCGAGTCCTACCACGCGGAAGCATTTCCAGTCTCTGTTGAGTCACGCCTGCTAATATGCCATTAGCCAAAGCAAATCACATTCTAAACCCAGAATCAAGGGGTGGCAAAGCACTTTCTGCCCACCGTGAAGCCAAAGACAGTCACATGGCCAAGTCCGACAGTACTGGAGTAGGACGGTATGCTTCTTCCACAGAAGTGAGAAAAGGCAGGGACTATATCCGACAAGTTAAATCTAGAAAAATCTTGCTTCTTCTTTTGATTTCTTTCATAATCCCTACATAAATTAGGGGCCTCTGGGTACCAGCAAGTAGAATCAATCTGGTTAAACGAATCACAGAAGGTATTCATTAGAAAGGTATGCAGAAATCATAAAGTCAAAGAAAAACCTGACCTTACAGGCCTCGGGAAGGATTAGAACCAGGAAGTCTCCGAAGATCTTGGTAAACAGAAATTTATAGTTTCTAGGGATTTTGTTATGAAGTGGGGAAATGGTTCCCATCCTCAAGTCACTCAGTTAAAGGTTCAACTTCTCAAGACAGGGTCCACCTGGACGATTCTGTTCTTCCCTAGGCCAGCGAGGAGCCAGGGTACTGTCCCACTGAACCCACATGTAACAGGGGACATTTGGTCTGTTCATCAAAGAAAAATCAATATTTTGTCATCAGATGTAAGAGAGCTGCACACTGAGAAAGTGAAATCAGAGGGGTGCACACCTATTACCATATACAGATCTATTAGAATTTCAAGGGTGTGAAACCTGCCAAGAGCAATCTATTGTACTAACCTACTTGCACATTTCTCCAATGAGAATCTGAATAAAGAGCTAAATCTATGTCACTCTAGTAAACACTGTGCATCAAAGATCTTAGAATCAGAAGATTGGGGCTCAAGTTCCAGGTCTAGTATTTACCACTCAAGTGACGTTAGGCATGTCATTTAACTGCAATCTCTTCATTCAGGAAACTGGAAAAAAACTGTCTTATCTATTCCTATAGGTTGTTGTGAAGCTCAAATTAATTAACAGACGCACATACACAAGTGCTTCACAAACTGTAAAGTGACAGCAACTCTGTGTTCAGTGACTGTGGTACCAGTTTCAAATTTTTGACAATGGCCACGCCTCCTGGCCACAACCTCCAAATCCAGTGCCTACATGCTATCTTACCTACGAGGCTGGCAGGTCAAAAAACTTTCCTGGCTAAGCTTATCATTTCTTTTTACAGGAAGAAGATGCTCTGAACGTGGTACACCTGAAGAAGGGCAGAGAAATGGTTCCAGGGCGAGCTGGGGTCCGGTGTTCACGAGGCCTCCACCCGGCACCTCTTACTGGGTAGAGCAGTATTCCCCCATCAGAGAAGGAACCAGGGTGGGAAGATATTCAACAGCCCCACAAGGCAAAATGAGACAAAGAGACACAGACAGACAAGGAGAGAAGGGCATCCTTCTCCGCAGGGAAAACTCACGCTCAGAGTTGCCAAGTGAACAGCAGCGACTGCGTCTCCACCGGACAGCACAGTATTTAACTCCACACTCAGAACCTCTCAGCCTCTGGCATGTGCGCCTTTGGAAGAGGACTGTGGAGGGAACAGAGGACAGCGCAACATCCAAACCACCCTCCGGTGCTCAGTGGAGAGGCATAAACCACACCTGTGGCTCGGCCATGCGAACGCACAGCCTTCCTTTCAACAGCGGCTTACAGTTCAGGAAGGTGAGGATGACTCCCAAGGAGCAAAGGCGAGCATCCTCCAGCCCCCCACGGAGGCAGCGGGTGTCTCTGGGTTCACTGGGGAAGGTCGCGCAGCGCTGGTCCAGGCCTTACCCACATCAGGACAGAGAAGCGCTGCGTATTCCTTGGTTACAAACGGTCACATGTGTTCCTCCGCCCTAGTGAGGGATTCCTGCGCCCCCGCCCAGCCAGGCCCCAGTTCTCGTCTGCCTCTGTAGCTGGTCTCTCTTTGTTCTTCCGCTCCTGTAGGCAAACCGTATTTTTGAGACATTGTTTCATCTGGTTCTGCCTCAGGGAAATCCCTCCTCTTCTTCCATACAAGCAAAGAGTCCGCCCCCTGCCCCTCACCCCCAGGGGGTTGTTGGGTCAGAAGCTCCTGGGGTTCTGAGATGTAACCCCCTGAAGAGATGCTAGAGCCTGTGAGGCAGACAGGTCATCTCTGAGGACAATATAGCAAATCGGGGGTGGAGGAGTTCCCCACTCAAGGGGAGGAAAGGTCTCCCTAAGCTACAGGAAGAGAGAGTAATGAGAGGAGAGTCCTGAGCGGGCCTCAGAAGAACCACAGACACACACGTGTACACATGTGCACAGATGCACATGTGCCAGAACCAGACACAGACACTCACGGACACATACTCGGACATTCACAGGACACACACGCACACCTGTTCCACAATATTTCTTGGGCACGTGGGTGGTGGCTTGTGGGTGGTGTCCAAGCCCATGTGAGGCCTGGGAAGCCTCACTCAAATCTTATGTCCCATAAAACCAACTTCTAACAAAAGGAAGACAAATTTAAAGAATTAACAACTGTAGTGGTTTATGCATCTTCTACTAGTTTCCAAAGCAGTCTCTCTCCTGACTCTGTCAAGTGTAAGACGTTCTCTTAGGGTAACTGGTTATGATGCCTTTCAGAAACAAGGCATCGAACTGGCATTACACCCTCCAGGGGCTTGGGGGAGAAACACAGATGAGACTGGCCAGCAGGACCGCACCTGGAGCCCCGTTCTAACTGCGAATGGCATGATTAAAAGAGGCCAGGTAATAGCTCTCCTGCTGTACCCGGGGTCTTCTCTTACTTAGGTGGTTCTCTTCAATGTAATATGCTCACTTTAGCCAACCCAGTGCACAGTCAAATCGGACAGACCGAGGTGGAGAAACTCACATGGCCACACTGGGTTAGCATCACCTTTGCGTCCACATAGCGGCCATGAGGTCAGTGGGAGGTGCCTGTCACAAGGTGCATTATTAACCTTGGTGCCCATCTGCTGTAACCAGAGTGACCCAGGTCTGCCCCGGGAGTCCTGGTTTTCTACTGTTGAGCCAACACAAGCGTGAGTAGTGCCCCTTGCTACTTTCACATGTGTTGCCATTTGGACAACAAATTAGAGCTTCTTTTTGTCTCACTGACTCTCGTGTCCGCACAAACTTCGCTGCTTGCCCATTTTCAGGCTGTGCTGGGATCCTGCCACAGAGATGATGGAGCAGGGAGGACAGCTCTGAGAGTCCTCTGATCAGGGAATTCGTGGGGACATCCACAGTAAACATAATGCCGCCTTAGCTCTCCACCATGAGTACTGGAGGAGACTTAGGGACTTTTTGAAATTTTTCTAATTAATTTCTTACATGGGCAAATACTGTTGCTGTTGCCACACGACAAGTGATGAAGCTTAAATTAAGTTACTTAAAAAATGTCTGAGGATTCCCCTACTTGATGATGAGCATACCAAAAGTGATAGCCTTAAAAACACCTAAAAAAACAAAGTGTTCACTCTATCTTCAAGGTGTTTCAGATCTATCGTGAGAAAGCACAGGAAAATGAGGGGGAAAAGTAAGAAATGGTAAATGACAGATACAGGTTGATAATACGCCAACATGTTGAAAAACCTCTCTCAAGGTTACATAATAAATATGTGTAAGAGTTACCAATAGAGAAAGTAGACAGAAAATAAACCTTTATCAAGCACATAGCATCTGCCGATATGTGCCAACTGTAGGTCTCATTGCACTTAATTCCCATCTCAAGCCTGTAATGACAATCAGACGTCTTGCAGGTTGAGCTACAGAGCCTGAGACACTAAGTGACTTGCCCAAGGCCCCCAGCGTCTGCACCAGGTCTACTGCAGCCAAAGCTGTGTTCTCGCTCCTGTGAGACTCAAAATGCCCTCAGTTCCTTTAGCCCAGGGCAGAAATTGGCCAATATCAGGAATTCAATGAGTTTCAAAACTCAGAGGAAATAGATTCAAAATTGTATAAAATATACAACAAAAACCCAAAGATTTTTAAATGAGACTTAGAAAAGAAAAAACTCCAATGAAATAAAAAGACTGCTGTTCCACATTTCCAAAAGCAAATTCCCATGCAGCTGTGCAGGATTGGGGGTGGGGGAGGGGCGATTGCGTAAAAAGTCATATTGCTCCGGAAGTCCAGCCGGCTGGGCTTGCAGAATTCCCCAGGAACGCCTCCTGCAGAATGCACTCCTCTCTACTCGCTGTTTCCCTCCAGCTGATGGCCACAAATCCCCAGACACGGCCATTGCTTTGTCATCAGGAAGGAAATTGCTGGGAGATGGATGAAAGCTTCAAAGCATTCAAAACACAAATGATTTTGCCCTGGGACCAATTTGATTTGCCCCCAACTTATCAAATACTTTAAAGTTACAAAGGAAGGTGCTGGAAGGAGGACAGGGAGCCGAGGGGGACAGTTAAGGCATGCATCCTGACCTTGAACACCTTACAATCCAGTAGGAGAGAGGAGGTACAAGATTACAAGTCATAAGGTGATGAGCCAAAGTGAAGTGCAAACGAAGAGCTATGAAGACTCTAGTGACAAGTGACATTCACCTCTAATCATTCTCTCTCTCCTGCAGGTATCAATGACCATACTGTTAAAAAGGATTCATCCAAACCCCCCATGTTATGACGTATGTGCAGAATCACCACACACATACAAACAGAGAGTGGAAGAGTGCTTGTTGGAGGCTGGGGGTGGGGGGCAGGGCATGGGGAGGAACAGGGAGAGTTCGGTGCAAACTCTGTTATAAGATGTGTAGGGTCTGAGGATCCAATGTCACCTGGTGACTACGATTGATTAACACTGCGTTGTGTAATTGAAATTTACTGACAGAGTAGAACTTACAGGTTCTCACACACACACAAGGTAAATTTGTGAGGTGGTCGATGCATTAATTAATTCAATGAGGGAAATCACAATTATTTAAACATCTCATTTTTCGTTTGTCAATTATAGTTCAATGAATCTTTAAAAAAGGTGTGTGGGCTCTTAACATCGTCCACAATTTTCTCACTGGTTCATTATAACAACATAATTTTTTTAAAATAAAATTGTTAGAAAAGTGCTTTGAAAACACTATTTTAGTATAACTAATGAAAGCTAACATTTGCAAAGAAAAACAAGGTCCCAGTTAACCATTTAATGCAAATCCCCACTGCTCAGCTGCTCCCTGGGTCGGGCTGAAGTGTGTGCCTCTGATGAGAACTCACTGAAGTTGTGACTTTGCTTCCCCTACTCCCCCCGTGTCTGCGTCCTTCCTGCCTGGTCTCCGGTCTGGTCTCTGCTTCCAGCCCAGCCCAGGCTCTCTCTGCTGCTCAGGCTCAACTGTCTCTGATGATCTCATGTACACTCATGGCTGTAATTCTCTGCTGACCCAAAGTTAAGCCTCCGGCTCAGACATCTCTGAGCTCCAGACTCATCTATCTGCCTGCCCAGGGGATATTTCCACTTGGATAGCTGTAAAGTCTGTCCAAAGGAACTCACTAGTTTCCTTCTCTTCCGAAGAACGGCTCTGCTTCCCTCGCCCCTGTTGTCATCCACTGCGTTACTCAGCCAGAACATGGTTATCTGCTGGGCACGTCCTTCCCCATCCTCCCTGTAGCCAACACTCTAACCTTCACTCCACTCAATTAGACTATAACATAAGAGGGAAGGAAACTGGAGGATAAACTTACACACTTACTTGTCATGTTCCCACGTGGTTGGCTGTTGTTCATTTCTGATCTAAGTAACCTGCCGATCTCTTTTCTCTTTGTAAAGAGAACAAAGGAAGTTGGAATCTATATAGATAAGCATTTTCCTAACTGGGCTGGCTATTTCCAAGAGGTTTTAATGGACGGTATTTCTTTTAAAAAAAAAAGTGGAGTTGATTTCTACATTGGCAAGATTGTATTCTGACCTGTTTTCCAGACCTTCCCCCTTCACCCCTGACCCCCTGGGTTTGAGCTTCTAGGTAAATGTTACTCCATAATGACATTTCACTGTGACCCCAAGAAACGAAGGAGGCGATTCCACCTGGTTATAACACACTGACAGTATGATGTGTGTACAGATGGGATGTTTGAATTTGAGAGTGTGGTTTGGTTTTTGTTTTGGTTGGCATTTGCCTTGCTTGGTGTTGGATACGCCTGTGTGCGCACACCCACCCTAGCTTGTCTAAGCCTGGCTGTTTGCACAGGGAGCCCTGCCTTTACCAGTCAGCTCTGCCAAAAGGATAAAGTGTGTGGCCCTTTCCCAGGGGCAGCCTCACGCCCCGTTACCGGGGTTAGGGAGGCTGGAGGAGCCACGGAGCGTGCCGTGGTTTTACTCGTGCGTGGTGAGGCTGTACTCTCTGCGAGAGGCCCACCCGGTGGAAGAGGAAGCCCCTGCCGTGGCTCCCCCTGTGGAACTAGACAGTAGTACTTAGCCAGACCAAAGCACAAGGTAACCCCGTATCCAGAGCCTCTTTGCAAAACCACAGCACACAGCTGCACAGTTCCATATCTGAGAAGTCCTCCAGCCGAGAGCCTGCTTGCTTTGCTCTAATGGAGTTACCCAAACTATTTTGAACATGGGGCCTTTTGTGGCCACCCACCTTTTGGGAGTATGCACAAAAACCCCTGGAGGATATGGAGTAAGCTTGAGGCCGGATTTCCTAGATGAACTCACACAAATTTCAGCTTCCTGTTGTCCGACAGGGGAGCCAAAAACTCACCCATGTCGCTTTGCGTAATGAGATCTGTGTGTGAGCTGGTCGGGAGCTGAAGGCCCAGGCAGAGCTGACACAAGAAAACCTGAAAAAAAAAACAGAGCAGGTTTCGACTCTGCCTCCGGCTGCACCCCCAACCTCTCGTGCCCTGAGGGGTCTGGAAAAAAAAGACGACTCTGGCCTTTCCAAGGTATGTCTAGCATCTTATCTCAGATGCTGGACAACAGACAGGCTCACCTGAGGTAAAGATCAACCTTTGTCAAGGAAGATGCGGGCCTAGGATATGACTCCCCACCCCACGTTCCATGGCCTCCAGCTGAAGCCTCTGGAGAGAAACAGGAAGTTCAGGAAACCGGGGCACAGAGACTGTTAAATCAGGGGTGTCCAACCTTTGCGCATCTCTGGGCCACCTAGAAGAAGAAGCGTTGTCTTGGTCCACACATCAAATACACTGCGATATGTAATCACAAAAAAATTCCCCCAATACTTTAAATGTGTGCACAATTTTGTGTTGGATTCACATCCATCCTGGGCCACATGCAGCCCACGGGCCGTGGGTTGGACACAGGGAGGACTGCTCAGGGCCCAGAGCAACTCCAAGTTCAGGAGAGAAGCCTTCTTGCCACTCTATCCTCAGACCCTGTTTTCTGCCCCCACCTGTATCATCACATTGGCCCCTGAGCCCAGTGCAAGGGGCGGCTGCAGCTGAGAAGCCGGCGAAGAGCCCGGTCAGGGCGTCCACGGGGGAAGGAGGATCCAGACTCATCACTGAGCACAGGACGGACACCACAAGGTGGGAGACCCTTCACAAATATCGCCATAGGAAATGCCCAAACCGGCAGAGAATTTTTATGAGTTTCTTTGAATCAGTCGGATGACAATTACCAGGAAGCCAAATCTCAACGGACTAAGAAAATGCTGCAGAGAATGGCAATTTTACAGCTTATTTTATACATTTGAACCAAAGGAGGAGACTTCAGGAGGGTTACATGACATTCTTTGGTGGTAGGTTAGGGAGGCTGGAGAGAGCAAAGCAGGGAAATCTCTCATGTTGGATAAAAAGCAAAGTGGAGAGACAAAGCCTTCTTTTCCTTTGGTGAGTACAGGGTGGTTAATAATTAATGTTTACAGCACACAGAGATGGTATTCAGGGAACAAGATAACAGTGAGGGTTTCTAGGGCCTCGTGCCCTGAGGGGTCTGGAAAAAAAGACCACTCTGGCCTCTCCAAGGTATGTTATCTCAGATGCTAGACGACAGACAGGCTCACTTGCGGGAAAGATCGACCTTTGTCTAGGAAGATGCGGGCCTAGGATTTGACTGCCCACCAGGAACTGCTTTCGGTGGCGAAGTTTTAATTTCAGGCCATCCTGTGAGGTTACTTTAGGTCTCTGAGTTAGTCAGGTCCAGCATGTGGACCTTCCCTGAGCTTCTCGGGTTTAGCGGGTGGGCCCCTTTCTATCCACACAGGGAAAAATTTTCTGGGTGCAGTTGGGGATTAAGTTTCTCTAGGCGCAGCCGATGACAGAAGCACTGTCCTTTGGACCCTCCTGTGCCTAATTCCACGCAGAGCTGAGAACGTCCAGGCACCCAGATTCGATGCCCTTCATATATTAAGGAACCTTCCGGTTTCTTCCTTTCTCTTTTTCTTCAGGCCACATTTTTTCCACCTGCTCAGTCTCTCTGGAGCGAGGAGATCAAAGAAGGAGGTGGCTGGCAGGCAGGGCCTTTCATTTCACTCAGTGGGGGGTCATGCCAAGGCCCCCCCCCACGGGGTTACTGGACAGGAAATGGCCCCTAAAACAAATGGTCAGACTGGGGTTAGGGGTTGTTGCTAGTAAAAGGAGTTCCCTTTGTCTTAAATCACTCAGCATTGTTTACAGCAGACAGGAGTCGGCAGTTAACCAGAGACTCAAGACAGAAATCACTGTGTCCCCGCGTATCTTGGCTGAGCCCAACTTTTACATTCTAAGCACTATAAGTACCAAGTGGCCTGCCTGGCTTGAAGCCAGACAGTAATGTTTCCTTTTGCTGTTGTTGAGAAAGGCATTCAGGAAAACAATCGAGCACAATCGGGTCCTTCCTGTTCCGCAGGCGGGCCTGTGACCCAGCCAGCAAACCTCCAGTGAGTCACCCTGCTGAGCGGAGAGCTTCCTTCTTGGTCAAAGGCTCTCAGAGGCAGCTGCGGACAGGCTGCTGCACTGCGAAAGCCCCCCCAGATCCGCATTTCCAGGATCCATTTTTCCCGTTTGTCCAGGCACCACAAAAACAGCCCCCTAACCAGATGCAGGAAAATGTCCCAGAACATATTTTGGTTGGCCCTGGCTCTGGGTTTCCCTCCAGCCAGGAAGTCAATTTTGCAAGGGAAGGCCCACAGGGGCTTGATCTGAGAAAGTTCAGCTCGCCTGCACATTATGGTCTTTTTACTACATGGGGACAAGGGCTGTGTGTTGACACCTGCTTGGCTAATTGAGGTCCCGCAGCCAGTTGGGGCTGCCTATGAAGGGTGCGTGGCTGACCGAGATCAAATGAAATAATTTATGTATAAAATTAATTAGAATGAGACAGGGAATAGACCACACATTACAATGAGTCCCAAACTTTTCATTTTTTGGATAATGCAACTGAACTACCAAGAGTTGCACTGACGTGCCCTACATGCGTGAACCAAAACCTGGAGGGATGTAGGACCATCAACAGTGGGCTGGACCACTGTTGGGCATCTCTCTCTCTCTCTCTCTCTCTCTCTCTCATTTTCTCTATCATCTTCTCTCCATCTCTCCCTCTCTCTTCCCAACCTCTAGGATTTTGATAAAATATTCTGCCATGAATGAGTTTAAAGTCTAAAAGATCCTCCAGAGTATGAGCCAATAGAGAGGGCAAACTTGACATCATTTCCTGTACTCTCTGTCCCAGGAGTCAATGCGCAGTGTCGCTTAGCCAAAAGTGAGAAAAATTGATGTTAAATCTTTTTTGTGTGTGTGGAATATGGATTTTTTAAAATATATTTTATTAATTATGCCATTACAGTTGTTCTATTCCCCCCTTTATTCCCCTCCACCCTGCACACCTCCTCACCCACCATTCCCCTCCTTTAGTTTATGACCACGTGTCTCAAGTTCTTTAGATTCTATATTTCCCCTCCTATTCTTGCCCTCCCCCCTATCTATTTTCTACCTACCATCTATGCTACTTATTTTCTGTACCTTCTCCCCACTTCTCCTTCTCCCACTCCCCTGTTGCTAACCCTTCATGTGATGTTAAATCTTGAAGGTCACAGGATGCGCCACCCCAGAATATGCCAGAATACCTGGTGTGTGGCTGACTCTGAGTTGTAGGGATGTGAAAAGCAGCAAATGCAAGAAGAGGCTTTGTCTGAACTCCCCTCATCTGCTTCAAGACAGAGCCTCAGAAGGAACTCCATTGCTGTGAGTCCCCCCCACCCACCCCCGGAGTTTCATCCACCAGGGAAGACTGACTCATGTCACAGAAGAGACAAGAAGAGACACCGCGCACATACAGACTTCGTCACACACTGTCATATTTTCCATCTATTCTTCTAAGGGTCCATTCATCCTGCCTAAAAATCATTTTCTCTCCCCTCAGAGGCCTACACCCCCTCCCCTTTTCCTATTAAAATGGTATGTAAGCCTGAATTCCAAGATAGTTCCTCAAGTTACATATCATTTGATTTTATAGCTCCCATGTACACATAAGATCTACATGTTAATAAACCTGTTTGCTTTTCTCCTGTTCAACTGCCTTTTCTTCAATGGTCTCAGCTAAAACTTCCACAAGGGTTTTACCACTAGCTATTCATGTTTTGACCAAATAAGATTTTTTTAAAAAGATGGAGTACTTTGTCTAGTACTCCATAGTATTTTGAAGTGGTAATGAGTTTTGACTCTAACAAAACTGTGTCTGGGCCCCAACTCTTCTGTTTCCCAGTTATGCCATTTAAACAAGTCATTTGACTTTCTCGTGCCTCAATTTCCTCACCTGAAAGTGGGGATAATACCAGAGGGTTGCTGTGAGGATTAAAAGAGATGATCAATATAGATAAGTTTACTTAGTGCCTTGCCCAGTGCTCAATAAACATAACTACTACCACTAATATTAATAACAATCTAATTTAATAGTCATTAGATAATTTTTTTCATTAGATGTTTAACAAACTAAGTTTGTCTGAGCTGGAAGCATAATGGCAAACCTTAGGAAGGTACAGCCTCCATCTTTTTCCAAAATAAAACTAGGTCTCTAAAGTGAGGGTGTTTGTGATACAGGATGGAGTGATTTGTTGGAAAGTGGTATCTTTTTCAGTTATGATAGAAAACATTTAAAAAATGTGCAGCTTGCAGGT